CTTGCTGTTTTGACTAAGTCCCTCTTGATCCCTCTCTCTACAAACTCCGACCCGAGGATAGGGGCTGGTCTTGTACCAGGCACCGAAGGACCCTTGGAGGTGACCCCGATGAGAGGTTTTAAGTTTGATAAAGTCTTAATAGCTTGAGTTTATTAGGCCCGCACCCCAACAAGCTGGTATCAGAGCTACGTTCTAGTGATCCTTAATATAGGTAGCTATGGCAGGCAACACCTCGACCGGAGCTGGTGAATCCTCAGCCCAAGATCGTATCGGCAGCCAAGATTCTTGTGTTTTAGCGCCAAGGGGAGCGCGAACAAACCAGGGCTCGCTGGTCAAGGAGGTGCTGAAAAACGTCACTGTCGAGAAGTTCAATGGTGAGGGCCATGATGATTGGGCCTGGAAAATGCACCTATATTTCTGTCAGATTGGATTGCCGAAACTAATGATTGGGGAGGAGCCTAGACCGAGTGAGCCCACGCTGCAGGAAGAATGGGACAAGCGCTCCTCGGCTGGCTACTATTTGATGTCCCAGAGTTTGGAGCTGAACCAGCGTCACCACGTCATGCACCTGCTGCCGGAGGTTGAGTGCGGTCCGAAGGCATGGACCGTATTAAAGGAGCTGCACGCCCCGGCCTCCGTTGTTAAAACGTTGATGCTGGAGAGGGAGCTGTCCGCGTTGCGCCTGAGCATGGGAGAGCTGGTGCAACCTGTCCTCGACAAGATACACGACCTCTACGCGAAGTTGGCGACCGCGAGAATCACCTTCCCGGAGCAGACCAAGTGTTTGAAGATGCTCTCGCTGCTGCCGGAATCGAGTCTTCACTTCACGAGCGGAATGAGCCTGCCGCAGAACTAGAGCTCGTGGACACTCGAGTGGGTGCGGACAAAGATTCTGGAGAAGGACTTCCGTCGCCGCCAACTGAGGGTTGGAGACGACGGCAGCAGCGGCTACAAGATGCAACGGAGGCGACGTGGCAGAGGACGTGGCTTCGGTGGTGGTGGACGCGGTGCAAAGAAGGACGACGACTCCAACGACCAACAAGGAGGTACCGGCTGGGGTCGCGGTGCGAAATCTGGACGTGGGGGCAAGTCGGGTGCTGGTGGCAAAATGAAAGGGAGTTGCTGGTATTGTGAGAAGGAAGGGCACCCCTGGTTTTTGTGCTATAAGAAACCCGATGGATGGACCCCCCAGAATCGTCACCAGGATGGCGGCGCGCGGAGGAACCAGAAAAACGGCGCGAACATGGTCGCCGATTCGTCCGACAATGACCCGAAGAGCAATGGCGGTGCGGAAAAGAAGAAGTAGCCCACCGCGGGACAGTTCTTCCATATTAGAGAGCAGGGGGAGCAAGGAGACACCTCTGCCAAGGTTGGAGCAGAGCTGCACCCCCTGGATTATTGGGTTTTGGACACGGGCGCTGCTTGGACGATGACGCCGCGTGAGGACCTATTGAACCACGTACGCGCTGCACTGATCAACGAGGTTTGCTCCGCCTCTGGACACGCGCTGAAGGTGGCTGGTGCGGGACGAACTGCGTTTAAGGGAGCGGATGGCAAGCCGGTGGTGCTGCACGACGTTCTCCTTGTTCCTGAACTCAAGGCCAACCTCATCTCCCTCCGTAAGATTGGCAAGGCTGGGGTGAGCACTAGCACTTATGGGGCACGCACTTACAAGGGGCAGCTGGGCAAACGGGTGCTTTGGGATCTGCACGAGAGAACAGACGTGTACAGATCCATGTGGCAGCTGCCGGCGTTGGCATGGCATGGTGGGGGGCAGGCTGGAGAGGGGTCTGCATCCCAGGGGGAGTGCAACGCCATTGGAGGGGTTGGTGTGAAAGTGTCGGCCAGATCTGGGGAGACGGATTGGGCAACGGCACACCGACGCTTAGGGGCATGTGACAATGCCCTTGTTGAAGCACTTGGAGAAAGATAGAGCCGTTAAGGGTCTGAAGCTGAACGGACAGCCACTTGATGAGAATTGTGAAATCGGTTTGCTTTCAAAGTTTACCCGTTTACCCTTCCGTAGTGTGGCTGGCAGGAGCAAGAAGCCATTGGAGCTGGTCCACATGGACTTGGTGGGGCCACTGGCGGTTCAGGGGCAAAAGGGGGAGCGGTACTTTCTGACCATAGTGGATGATTGAAGCAGGCTTATGTGGGCATATGCGCTGAAGCAGAAGGACCACGCCGCCTCTACTATACGCGAAGATTGGCTGCCATTCGTGGAGAAGCAAGCGGAGTGTGTGGGGAAGCGGATTAGGACAGATCGGGGTGGTGAATTCCTTGGAGCTCAGATGACGGCCTGGCTCAAGAAGCAGGGCATCCAGAGGGAGCTGACCACGGCTTACACCCCACAGTCTAACGGTGAAGCAGAACGGGCGAACCGGACAATTCTGGAGACAGCTAGGGCGCTGCTCATAGAATCCGGGCTGTGCAACTTGATGTGGCCCCATGCTGTTCGGCAAGCTATCGTCGCTAGGAACAGGGTACTCACCAAGGTTGGGGATGACTCGTGGGTGCCGTTGGAGAGGTGGCTTGGGAGGAAGCCGCTGGTGGACATGCTGAGTTCAATCTGGTGTGTGCATTTGGGGCTGGCTGCTGAGAGCAAGGGATGGCTGCTGTGGGAAACTTCCAAGGGTGTGTTGTTTGACAGCAGGGATGTGAAGTTTGTTGAGGGCATGATGTATGGGAGCTGGGAGAAACAGCCGAAGGCCAAGGTGTCCCATCACATGGAGCAGATCACCATGCAGCTGGACCTGACTCCTAGTGTGTCCAGGGGAGAGGAGGCAGCTGCAGAGGGTGGTGATGGAGAGAAGGTACAAGAGGCAACTGCTAGTAGAGAAAATGATGTAGAGACTAGCACTAGTGGAGCTGCTGGATCCGAGGGAGGAGAGCAGCAGCAAGGGAAAGCTAAGAAGCCGAAGGGTGTCATTATGAGGGGATGGGAAACACTTGTCTCCAGGCTAGGACGTACTCGTATGGCTACTAAGAAGCTGACTGCAGGAGCTGATGTAGCAGAGCAGCAGCTTGGGACCGATGAGGCATTGCTGATTCTGCCGCATGACTATGATCCGGATGAGGAGGATGAACTTGCCTACTGTATTCTTGCCCTTGCACCAGAGGAACCAGCTAGCATGGAGGAGGCATTAGCTGGACCAGATAGGGAGAAGTGGCTGGTTTCTAGGGATGCTGAGTACCAGAGCCTGCTAGAGAATGGGACATGGGAGCTGGTGGTGCTGCCTAAGGGAAAGAAAGCCCTACAGTGCAAGTGGGTGCTAAGGATCAAGACTAATGCTAAGGGACAAGTCACCATCTACAAGAGTAGGTTGGTGGCTAAGGGGTTTATGCAGAAGGAGGAGCAGGACTTCAATGAGATGTTTGCTCCCACTGCCAAACCCCCTACCCTCCGTGTCTTGTTGGCAGATTCAGCCATTAGTGGGAAATTCATCATTCAGATGGATATATCAACGGCATTCCTCAATGGGATTTTAGAGGAGGATGTGTACATGACGCAGCCGCTTGGGTATGAGGATGGTACGGGCAGGGTGTGCAAGCTGAAAAAGTCAATCTACGGCTTGAAGCAGGCACCACGCTGCTGGTACCAGAAGTTGGCAGCTGTTTTAGAGGAGATGGGATTCAGGACCAGCAGATGTGATGAGAGCCTCTTTCTCAAGGAAGTAGGTGGATGCAGCTGAGCGTGTGGTGAAGTATCTGAACTCTCACGCAAGCATTGGAGTTCAATACTCCGCATCTCCACACGTGAAGCAGAAAGGGGTTGAGGTTCTGAAAGAGAAGGGGGAGCGGCTTGGAGAAGGCAAGCTGTTTCTCACTTGCTTTAGTGATGCTACAGAGGCTCCTTTCGCGGCCCCTCTCACGGCCCTTTGCGGCTACCTCGCGGCCACCTCCGCGGCCCTTCGTGGCCCCCTCTCACGGCCCTTCGTGGCCCCTCGCGACCCCTTCCGGCCCCTTTGCCGCTCTTCGCGGCCCCTCGCGGCCCCTTCTCGGCCCCGTCGCTGCTCTTTGCGGCTCCTCGCGGTCCTTTTCGGCCCCATGGCCACCCTTCGCGGCCCTTTTACAGCCCTTCGCGGCCCCTTCTTGGCCCCTTCGCCGCCCTTAGCGGCCCCTTTGCGGCTCCTTCACGGCCCTTCTGCGGCTCCTTCACGCCTCGTTGCGGCCCCTTCACGGCCCCTCCTTGGCTCTTCACGGCCCTGCCGCCCCGCCGTCGCCGCCCCAGCAGCAGCTACCATCGTGCCGTGACAGCCGCCATTGTCGCTGCCGGGGCCGCAGCCGCCGCCGCTGCCGCCGCTGCCGTGACAACCGCAGCCGCTGCTGCCGAGGCGGCATCCGCCGCCGCCATGGACAGCCGCAGCCGCCGCCGCCGCCAACATCAGCAGCTGCCGCCGCCGCTGCCGTGACAGCTGCCGCCGCCGCCGTCCCGACCCTGCCCTGCAGCTGAGGCGCGGGTCTCCTCTTCCGCCTTGTCGCGGCCCGGTCCTGCCCCACCACTTGCGGACCTCTACCCACCCGCCCTGGTAAGAGCACCGCCAAGCCGCGCCTCTGCTACTAAGCTTCTCCTAGCCTGCCACTGCTATTGCTAGCCTGCTACTGCTGCTGTCATGGCTACTTCTAGTGTTCTCACCTTTGATGCTAAGGGTCGGGCTGTCGACTTTGAGGTCTGGGTTGATGATCTGCAGCTTTTCGTGCAGTGCGATAGGAAAGACGGTCTCTCACTGTTTGATCTCACGTCTAGCGCCTCTACTGCTCCTGCTTCCGATGCTAACAGCACTGTTCGCTCACACTGAACCACACGCGATACTGCTGCCCTTCATGCTGTGCGTAGTCACTTGCCGTCCACTGAGCGCGCGCACTTTAGTCAGTACAAGAGTGCTAAGACACTGTACGACGCTGTAATTGCACGCGACTCCTCCTTTGCCACTGCTGCCCTTAGTCGCCTCATGCTGCCGTACATGTTCCCTGCCTTCCCCACAGTCGCGGACCTCATTATGCACCTTCGCACTAGTGACACCCGCTACCGCGCTGCGCTTCATGCTGAGTTCTGCGCCAAGAACCCCCCCCCCATATACATCACCCTCTACTACCTAGTCACACTGCTCCGTGACTCCCTTCGCTCGGTCAGGGACCACATCCTCTCTGTTTGCCCCACCACACTCACTGTTGACCTCCTCGAGGAGCGCCTCCTGGCAGCTGAGAAGAGTATAGTCGCTGTAGGAGCCTCTTGTGGTGACCCTCGTACCCCCTTCTTTAAATGGTGCCCCCCCTCCCCCCTTTTGCCCTCTGTTGCCTCTGCTGCTGCGGTCGACCTCGTTGGCACCGAGTCAATCGGCGCTGCGTCTGCCCTTAGCGGGAGACGCCGCAACAGCAAGGGCAAGGGGGGCAAGGGCGCTGGAGGGGCTGGCGGGGGCGTTGGAGGTGGCGGTGGAGGCGGCGGAGGGGGTGGGGGTGGCGGTGGGAGTGGTGGCGAGGGTGGCAGCTTCGGTGAAGGCGGTGGAGTCGGAGGCGGCAGCGGCAGTGGGAGCGGAGGAGGCGGCGGTGGCGGTGGCGGCGGCAGCGGTGGAGCTGGTCGGGGTGGCGTTATGCAGCGGGGCGGCTTCAGTGGTGGTCAGCGCCAGCAGCAGCAGCGCACTCGTGGGACCCTGCCCCCCTAGCAGCTTCGTGAGTGGTACGCTGCGCGTCAGCGGGGTGGGGGTGCTGGTCCCTGTGCCTATGTCCAGCGTACCGGCGACCGCACTAGTGAGCCGTGCAGTGGCCCGCACACCACCCAGCGCTGCTTCGGCTGCCTGACGGACGCCTCGCGTCTCCAGTTCCCTGACGCCACTGAGATCCCTCGCTAGGGCGAGCTGCTTAGGTCGGGGGTTGCTATCTTTGATCTTGATTATGATGCTATTCTTGCTGCAATATATGTTGTGCCTACTAGTGATGAGGGTGACTGTTACCTGTGTGTTCCGCTTGACCCGGGCATTGAGGCTGCTGCTCTACGTGCTGGTGAGTCTGCTGCTCCGAGTGCTGGTGAGTTTGCTCCCCCGAGTGCTGATGAGTCTGCTCTCTCAGGTACCACGTCGGCTCAGGCCTTGCACACCTTCACCCTTGACTCGGGTGCTTCCCGCTCCTTCTTTCGAGACCGCACCACACTCACGTCGCTTCGTCGGCCAGTTGCAGTCTCCCTGGCAGACCCCTCTGGGGTACCTGTCCTTGCTCACTTCTCTGCTATCTTACCGTGTTTGGCGGCCTCTTCTGGCACCCTGTCGGGTCTTTACGTCCCCTCGTTCTCTACAAACTTGGTGAGTGGTGCTGATCTACAGGATGGGGGGGGGGGGGGTGACCAGTTCACTCCTGCGAGTAAGCGAGTGACCCACTGCACGTGTGCTCGGACGGGCCGACACTTGGCCACATTCACCCGTCAGCCGGGGTCGAGCCTGTACACACTGACTACTGAGTCTTCTCCGGCTGCAGCGTCTGGTCTGATAGCTGCATTAGATCAGGTGTTTGGTGCAGCGTCCAGGTCTGGTCCTGAGTCTGCCCCCTGCTCGTGTCGTCTCCTGTCTCACCAGACTCTCCTCTGGCACCATCGCCTTGGTCACCCCTCCCTGCCTCGTGTCCAAGGCCTGGCCTCCCGTGTCCTTGTCTCTGATCTCCCCCGGTCCCTCCCTCCTCCTTCTCCGGGGCCTGCCCCTACCTGCGTTCCCTGCGTTGAGGGGTGGCAGCCCGCTGCTCCTTACTCCTCCGAGTTTCCTCCGACAGAGGTTCCGCTGCAGACACTTCACCTAGACGTGTGGGGTCCCGCCCGCGTGCGTGGACAGGGTCACGAGCGTTACTTCTCGCTGGTCGTTGACGACTACTCGCGTTACACCACAGTCTTCCCCCTGCGCAGCAAGGGTGAGGTCACTGAGGGTTTGATCGGCTGGATCCGCTCAGCTCGTCTCCAGCTCAGAGAGAGTTTCGGCTCGGACTTTCCTGTTCTGCGTCTGCACTCCGACAGAGGCGGAGAGTTTTCCTCTGACCTTCTGCGAGCCTTCTGTCGTGCACGGGGGATCCGCTTGTCGTTCACGCTTCCGGCCTCCCCATAGCAAAATGGGATTGCTGAGCGCCGCATTGGCATGGTCATGGACGTCGCTCCTACGTCCATGATCCATGCGGCTGCTCCTCATTTTCTGTGGCCGTTTGAGGTTCAATACGCGGCGCATCAGATCAACCTTCAGCCCCGGGTCTCCTTGCCGGAGACCTCCCGTACTCTTCGGTGGACAGGGAAGGTTGGGGATGCGTCTGCATTTCGTGTGTGGGGATCTCGGGCCTTTGTCTGCGACTTGTCTGCGGACAAGCTGTCCCCTTGTGCTGTTCCGCGTGTCTTCCATGGCTTCCCCCCTGGCGCGCCTAGTTGGCAGTTTTACCACCCCACCTTGTGCCGTGTTCTGTCCTCCCAGGACGTCACGTTTGACGAGTTGGTTCCTTACTACCGTCTCTTCCCCTACCGCACTGCACCCCTTCCCCAGCCGCCGCTCTTCCTCGCTACAGGTCCCCCCCTGGTAGACCCCCTTCCCCCTCAGGGTCTTGCCCCCTCAGGTGTGTCTCAAGTAGACGCAGTGGAGCTTGTTGAGGTAGCTGTTGACTCTGGTGCTGTTAGGGGTGCTGGGCTTGCGGGTGCGGGGTCTGGGGGTGTTGGGCCTGGGGGTGCTGAGCCTGTGCGTGCGGAGCCTGGGGGTGCTGAGCCTGGGGGTGCTGCGACTGGGGGTGTGGACCCAGAAGGTGCTGGGCCTACTTGTGTGGAGTCTGGCGGTACTGGGGCTGGAGGTCCTTTGGGTGCTTCGTCCCGGCGGGAGCTACCCTCTCCCCAAGAGCTGCACGAGGGGTTTGTCAGCGCTGAAGCCGTGCTGCTGGAGCTAGAGGTGCTGCTGGAGGAGGAGGTTCTGCTGCTACTGAGAGTGTTGGTGCCACGGGTCCCGGAGGTGCTCGTACTAGAGGTACTGGAGCTGGTGTGCCTAGGGGTACTCCTTGTACTGGAGCTGCTGGCGGTGCTGGAGCTGGCGGTGCTGCTGGGGTAGGTCCTACTGGAGCTACTGGAGCTGGAGCTGTTGAGTCTCTTGATGGTCTTGCTGGAGCTGGAGCTGCTGGGGGCGTTGGCGTTGTAGGTGTTGTTGGCGCTGGTGCTTCTAGGGGTGCTGCAGTTGGTGTTGCTGGAGCTGGGGGTGCTACTAGCGCAGGTGCTACCGCTGGGGGTGTTGGTGCTGTACCTGCTGGTTTTGGAGGCACAACGCGGCCACGGCCCTACTTCGTTCTGCTCCTTAAGCAGGTTCTTGGTCTTCCGCCCTCTACTGGTCCTGCTCCTTCCTTAGAGTGTCCACTACCTGTCCAGTCTGAGTCATAGTTACAGCCCGCCTCTCCCGTGCCTGCGTCTCATCCTGCATTGCCTGTTCGTGCTGCTCGCACTAGTCGTCGTGTTGCGCGTCCGCATTTACCTGCGGTCCCGGGCACACACGAGATGGCACTGCGTCCTTCCACTGCTCCACTGCGTATCACTTTGCCGTCTCCTCCAGAGTCCTCTCTTCCTGCTCATGCTGACCCGGAGTCTAACTCTCTTCGTGATGCCAGCCCTACTGTCACGCGTCTTCTGGCTACTGTTGTCACTGACCCTTCCTTTGAGTCCACTACGGCGTCTGCCCTAGTTGCTGAGCTTGTCGACTTTCCTGCTCGCTGTCGTCTAGACTATGCTACTAGTCTAGTTTATGAGTCCGAGTCTGTCTGTCCTCCGTCTGTCGGGGGTGAGTGTGCTCTTAGCACGGACGTCCTTGAGAACAGGCAGGAGGAGTTCCTGTGTTTTGCTGCTGCTTTGCCTCATCTCGTGTACATGCTGATTGCCTCTGAGGGAGACCCGAATGCACTAGACATCCCGACTCTGCGCTCTTACGCGGAGGCGATAGAGGGTCCCTACTCCTCTCAGTGGCGGTCAGCCATGGACGCAGAGATGGCTTCCTGGAAGTCCACAGGCACCTACGTCGACGAGGTTCCCCCTCCTGGGGCGAACATCGTTAGCGGCATGTGGATTTTCAGGGTGAAGCGGCCGCCGGGTTCTCCGCCTGTCTTCAAGGCGCGTTACGTGGCTCGAGGCTTCAGTCAGCGGCAGGGAGTTGACTACTTTCAGACCTTCTCTCCCACCCCAAAGATGACCACTCTTCGGGTGCTGCTGCACATAGCCGCTCAGCGCGACTACGAGCTTCACTCTCTTGACTTCAGCACTGCTTTCCTACAGGGCAGTGTGCACCAGGAGATCTGGCTGCACTGCCCACCAGGCTTCACTGGGTCGTTTCCTCCTGGTACCCAGTGGAGCCTTCGGCGGCCTGTCTACGGTCTCCGCCAGGCCCCCCGTGAGTGGCAGGACACACTGAGGACTACTCTTGCGGCTCTTGGGTTTGCTCTTTCTACTGCCAACCCGTCGCTGTTTCTGCGCACCGACACCTCTTTGCCGCCATTCTACATCCTCGTGTATGTCGACGACTTGGTCTTTGCTACTGCTGACACTGCTGGATTCGCCCACGTGAAGTCCGAGCTGCAGAACAGACACATGTGCACAGACCTGGGTGAACTGCTTAGCTACCTTGGCTTGCAGATCACTCGGAACAGAGCACAGCGCACCATTACCCTGACTCAGTCACACATGGTGCAGCAGGTCCTTCAGCGCTTCGACTTCACGTACTCCTCGCCTCAGGCCACTACTATGTCTACTCGCCAGTCTCTCTCAGCTCTGCCTTCGGATGAGTCCGTAGAGCCGAGTGGCCCATACCCAGAGCTTGTTGGCTGCCTCATGTACCTGATTACTTGCACTCGACCTGACCTTGCATACCCTCTTAGCATCTTGGCACGCTATGTTGCTCCTGGGAGACACACACCTGAGCACATGGCTGCAGGGAAGAAGGTGTTGCAAAAGTTGTGTAGTACGTCGGGCATGGGGCTCGTGCTTGGAGGGCGGAGTTCGGTGGTCCTCACAGGTCACGCAGACGCTTCTTGGGCAGACGACCAGGCTACGCAGCGGTCGTCACAGGGTTACGCGTTCAGCCTTGGTTCCGTCTCTGTTTCATGGCGGTCTACCCGCTCTTCTTCTGTTCTAGGTTCCAGCTGTGAGGCTGAGATCTATGCAGGGGCCATGGCTGCACAGGAGCTACGCTGGCTCACCTATTTGCTGAGTGACCTAGGAGAGCCGCCTCGTTCTCCTCCAGTTCTATACGTAGACAACAAGGCCATGCTGGCCTTGTGTTGGGAGCACAGACTGGAGCACAGAACGAAGCACATTGCTCTTCGCTACTTCCTTGCTCGTGAGCTGCAGCAGCGTGGTCAGCTGCACCTTGCTTACATGGCCTCTAGGGCCAACAGTGCTGATATCTTTACCAAGGCACTTCAGCCTTGTGATCATCAGCGCTTTTGTACGATGCTAGGTCTTGTGCCCACTTTGCCTCACTTGCTCACTTTTTGACCTTGCTTCTACTTTGATCTATTTATACCTGAACTGGCCTTGTGGCCTTTAAGTTGTGCTGGGAATGTGTAGTGACGTTGTGATCCACCCTGAGCTTGCCTTCCCTGACTGGTATTGTGACCCCTTGTTCTCTCCCACTTTGCCTATCGGGGTGTGTCAAACAGTTATGCTATAGTCTTGTCAGAATATTATCTTATGTTCTAGCCGGTAGTGGGGTGCTCTATAGCGAGTACAACCCTTCTAGGGTTTGCTATTTGTATCCTCATTCTTGCTAGTTCAACCCTCTTTCTTCTTTCTTTCTTCTAATTTTGTCATGCTATCAGAGCACGTCGATCCCCTTGGATCGATCCTGTGGGTGGGTTACCACCTCGCTTCCGCTGCTACTTTTTCCTCCCGCCGTGCGCCCCGAGGTGCGCGGCGGTTTTCTGCCCGCCGTGCGCCCCGAGGCGCGCGGCGGTTTTCTGCCCGCCGTGCGCCCCGAGGCGTGCGGCGGTTCTTTGCCCGCTGTGCGCCCCGAGGCGCGCGGCGGGCTTCTGCCGCGGCGTTCGCCGCGTCCCGCTCTGGAGGCGTCGCGACGGGCGACGGGGACCCGTCGCGGCCCCGCCACCGACCCGTCGCGGCCCCGCCACCGACCCGTCGCGGCCCCGCCGCCCCACTGTCGCGGCCCCCACCGCCTCACTTCGCGGCCCCGCCGCCACACTTCGCGGCCCCGCCGCCCCACTTCGCGGCCCCGCCACGTTCGGTCGCGGCCACGCCACCTCCGGTCGCGGCCGCGCCACTGACCTGTCGCGGCCCCGTCGCCCCCCTTCTGTCGCGGCCCCGCCCCCCCCCCCCCCCCCCCCCCCCCCCCCCCCCCCTTCCCCTGCCATTTCCCGTCGTCTGTCGAGGCGACCTGAGGGGCGAGCTGTGGGGTGGCGGGTATGGGGGTGGCCGGTGTGTATTCCTCCCTTTGCTCCTCCTCCTCCTTCGTCTCCCACTGCTGCAGCTGTCGCTGAGGGGGGTGGTTGTGTGGGAGAATGGGGTTTAGGGTTTAAGGGGGGTGCGTGGGAGTGGAGCTAGCGGTGTAGCAGCAGGTGTGTGTCGGGGGGGTGGGACTGTTTGGGGAAGCTGCATGGAGGTTGCCGTACTCTTGTCCGCAGCACCTGTAGTCCGGGGCGCTGTCCCGGTAGCCCAGTGAGCTAGACTTCTACGCCAGCCGCCCGTGGGTCCGTTGCTCGTCTGCCACTACTTTAGCCGCGGGGCCTGTTACTCCTGTAGTCCGGGCGCTGTCCGGTAGCCGCTGTGCCAGTCTGCCTCCTGTTGCCCGTGTGTCTGCAGCTTCAGCCGTCGCCTCCTATCTCCTCTCCCCTCACTCTCTCTCCTCCTCCTCACTTGCCCGTTGTGACTACCACTAGCTTTGCTCATAATTGTGAACTCTAAACTATTTCTTCTTGAACTTGTGCTCAGAATGTGTGGTGACATCGTGATCCACCCTGAGCTTGTACTGCTTTGCCTACTCTGCTGATTACACCCCACTTTGGCTATGGGGGTGTGTCAGAATATTATCTTATGTTCTAGCCTGTAGTGGGGTGCTCTTTAGCGAGTACAACCCTTCTAGGGTTTGCT